CCTTCCACTTACCTCGCCGCTTGGAGAAGAGGGGAGAAAAATACCTCATCGCCGAACCAGCCAGTTGCCAATACTCCAGACCCGTGCCCAACACAGAAATTCCATGTATGCAGGGCTGATTGTAAGAGATTCCAACGCCAGTTTCCAAAGCATGCACCACGATGCACTGTTCCTTCCTCCACGCTCCCGGAAGACAAGCGAGAAACCCATCAACTCACCGCTGCGCACTTCCACTTTGCTTCGAACCATCTCGAAGTTCCATCCCACCAAAGCGCGCGTCAATCCACCCCGTAGTAGCTAGGCAGCTCCCACTCGCGCTCCCTCGGTATCTCCCTCCTTTTACTTTCGGCATCTCCTACGATCGTAACATCGTCCCGTAGCAGCATGCCTTCAAGGTACGTACAAGCTGTACCCTTCTCGAACGCCGCGCGCTAAGCCAACTCGAAACTCCCTGCTATCCCCAAGAAACGCACGCCACCCCGTAGTGATCAGACAGCCCCCACTCGCACTCCCTTGACATCCCCCTCCTCTTACTACGGCCCCACATACTCACTCGCGCTTTATCACTTCAACATCTCGCACGTATGTTAGCAGCGCGCCTGCAAGATAAAGACTGGATGCAACCATCTCGGACGCCATGCACGGACGGAGCGGTACTCGTGCCATCTCGGAGCTCCCACGCAGCTCAGCAACGTCACCAGATACTCACGCAGATACGGCGCGCTTCATCACTTCGACATCTCTCATGTGTCACTCGCGGCAGATGCCATACACTCACCAGCTCCACGTGCACTTGCTGGCTTCACGAAACAGCGCCGTGTGAACCCGTCCGATCGGGCCGGGCGCAGCGCTCCCTGCAGCGCTGCGCCCGATCTCCCAATTGCCCCCACGGGCGGGCGGGCCATCTGGTATGCAAATCATGAGTACTACCAACATAAATCTGACTACACCAAAGAGAAATCAAAACATAGACAAGTGGTCCACGCAGCGAATCAAAGTGAACACCATTATTAACCACTTGACAAAGAAAGATGCACAGCTTCTTCCCCCACGCAATTAAATTCAACGACATCAAAAGAAAAGGGAAAATTTTCGAGATGCCCCTGAAATTTCCATTAATTTGCCGCGTGCCCCTCTGAAGGGCAACTTACCCTGTCGTGCCCCTGGGGCCTCTAAAGTTTTCCGCAGGCCCCTGTCAGTGAGGGGCACAACTTTCCGTTATGCCCTTACCGGACCACGGATGGCGTTTCGTGGGTACCTCCTCGAAATGCCCTGACAAGGGGCATGCATCTTTCTGTGACGCCCTTGCAGCAGGCCACCGAAAATGCTGCAGCAGTCAGTCTCTACACGTTCGCTGGTTGGAGTTGAGCGTGTGTGTGTGTGTGTGTGTGTGTGTGTGTGTGTGTG